AATTTCCCTTTGTGACCAGTTTCAAATCTTCGATTGTTTCAGTTACGTGATTTATAGTTCTGTTGTTAGTTTGGCGGTGACAACAGGAGATAGTTCCATCTTATTGTATTATTCACATTGATACAGGGTACAGTGCTTTAAGTTTTGTAGATGAAGGCTCCCAATCGAGACTATTAGCATCTATGATGGACTTGTGACACGGAAGTACAAGATTGCCGCGACGAGAATTCGCATTCGTTTCCTATCTGATTTCAAACGCAAAAGTTCGTCATGCACGACAGTTTTGCAAGTTGCTACGTCGGAATCGGCTGACGCCTACCATCACAAATCTAACACGGCTGGTCAACTCCTATTTGGATGATGCAAACAGAACCTTTGTGCAACTAATGGAAACATACCAACGCCGTATGACAATCACTGACCAGCTGTCACTGGTTTGTCGCATTATATTCACGAATTTTTACAAAACTGTTGTTGACAGAACGAGGAAGAAGTTGGACAAGGCCCTACGTAGATTTATTGAAAACACAAATGAAGAACCCATTTTGTCTGACAACCTACAGAAGCAAGTATACAACCTGTCTTCCGTATCCTTGAACAGAAAACCAATGGAAGCTTTGTCATTCGGCGTTAACTTTTAGGATACGTTTAATGAATATCAACCAAATACACATTGATACTCAGTTTGAAAACTTACTGGACCAACTATACAAATTGATCCCGACGACTAAAGAACAGCACAACTGGCTCAAGGTTAAGCTCGTTGATTTTGCGAACGGTTACATGGTGGCCCCGATCCACCAAACCTGTTGTATAGCTAGAAGTCACATCAAAGCCTTACGTGATCTGAAGGCAAGAGAAATGTTGGTGCTGAAACCCGACAAAGGAATAGGGGTTGTAGTTATGAATAAGCTTGATCACAAAAATAAGATGTATGAGATACTGAATGATGAATCCAAATTTCAAAAGACCAAAGTAAAACCACAGTAACACATATCGATGAGAGGGTGACTAATCAACTAAAATTGCTGCTGCAAAGTGGAATGATAACAGAAGTGACGTAAAACCAGTGGGACACGCACCCCTTAACTGTACGGCTTATTGAAGATCCACATGGCCAACACAAATTTAAGGCCTGTACTATCCATGTGTAACTCAGCATATCACAAGTTGACGTGTTGGCTTGTTGATCTGCTCACACCGGTTAGACGAATGCTAACAAAGTATACTGTGAAGTACACATTCGATCTGACTGATTGTGTGCATAACAAGAATATTTCTGACGAGATAATGTGTTCAAAGGACGTACCGAGTTTTTTCACTAAAATTCCATTAAGAGAAACGGTGGATTGCTTGCCATGTATAATAAAGTAGTGTTGCAGCTTCCAGTGGAATATCTTAGGGATTTGCTGCCATTATGCACAAAAAATGTTCATTTCTCACTTGAAGACAAGCTGTACCGACAGATAAATAGTGTAACGACGGGTAGTCCACCTGGCCCGGTACTGGCTAACAGCTTCATGACGATACTTGTATTGAGATGTGAGACTAAAATTAACGAAATGTGCTTATACAGGCGAAACATAGATGGCACACTAGTGATCGTCACAAGTTTTGACGCTACTCTTTCTCTTCTCAATGTGCTCGATAACACAAACGCAGTTGAAGAGCAATGTGGATGCCGCCCGGGTCCCAGTAACAGATTTTATGTTGGCGGTGTTTTAACAGTTCTTGGTTTCCTCTGCCACTGACAACTGTTGTACTGCTGATTTGTTGCCTTGTGAGACTGCGACTGTCTGACTGCTCAGCCACGCGCCCAACCAGCCGAAGGAATACAAAAGGCCAGAACTCGGTAGACAGAGAGTATGTCTACAAGACATGTTAACTCTATTTATTGGTAACCTCAACATGTTAATGTAGGAGGTCAAGGTCGCTCGATATTCTGTTTCTGGTTTTCAGGCAGTGTGAGTGAGTGCCGTTCCACGGGTTTATCGTATTGACAGAATTGTTCGATCCCTTTGACAAGGGCTGGTATTAGCTGGCCCATCAATACTCATTGGATTCCCAAATTCAGCTCCGCTTACGTCTCTGTTATCTCCCACTACAAAATGATTGCTCCTACCTACTTTCCGCACTTGGGCTTGATCGTAGCTTTTTTACTCTGGGATTCACTTGTAGCCATTGCGGTTGCCTTCATCTTCGACTTGGCCTGTTAGACAGGCCGTTGCGCCCGAGCGACCGGCTGTGTTCTGCTTTGGGTATCACTTCTTTTTGCCAAATCAAATGTATCCAGTAGTCTGTCCCATTGTAGTGCTGCTAGTTCTTGAGGTTTTTGTGCGTTTCTTTGCCGCTGTCCTAGATGATTGACGTATCAACTCGTCAGTTGCAGGAGAAAATCGGAGAGAGACACCAGCCACTCTACTCTCCGTTCGTTGAATTCACTAAGGCAGTTTACACGGGGAACCGCGAAGCAATGTAGCTGGTGTTGTGTAAATCCGGTCTTCCGAGTAAGTATGTAAGCTTAATGGAATATCTGCAGTGTTATGAGGATTAGGGTGCAGCTGAGTGGAGGAACCTCGAATGACTGTGCTGTTGTCTCTGGTGTAACTTAAGGCTGTCTTTTCGCCTGCCTTGTTTAATATTTACATGAATGATATGATGCTTGTAATTTAGTGTTTGTGAGTATGATGTCCGTGTGATGCACCGTAATAATGGCGGGTTCCTGAACCTCCGCTGTTTCGGGGCGAAAACTATGATGTGTGAGGCAGTCATGTGTATGCTGCTGTTTGCCGACTACTGCCGGTTGTTTGCATCCCCTGGTTACAACGCATGACGACGGCCCTCGCTACGACAGCGACCAATTTCGGACTCGCCATCAACACAAACAAGACGGTGTAGCCGTCGTCAGAAACGGAATTCTTATATTCGTGGCAAAACCTGATGGCTGTTGAAGTTTTGGAGACCACAAGAATTTTGCCATCTTGAACGCATACTGCCAATGAACCTCGAGCTAACAAGTAAACCGCGTCTTAGTCTGTGGAAGAAGGCTTTCGCATTTGGAAAGCTGGAGCGTCGGGTATGGAGAAGGCACCAGCTGATTGTTGAGAAGAGACTGATGGTTCTGTCCGTTCTTCTTCACCGCAACGAAATATGAACGCTCTATCGGAAGGGCGTCCGTTATTTGGTGTGCTTTCAACAACAATTCATGCGTCGGATTCTACGCATCAGCTTGTGTGATAGAGTTGCAGACACGAAAGTGCTGCGCCAAAGTATAATGCACCCAGTGGTATAATGCAGCTCCTGAGGTGACTAGGACATATCCAGCGTACGGATGCAGTGGCGATACTCAAGCAGCTGCTATATGAACAACTTAGTTCAGGGAAGCGGAAGTTGGTCACACAGAATTTACGTTACCAGGTCTTTGGGAGAAGATGAAAACATTAAGGAAAACTCATTATTTTAGCGATTAATCGATCATCTTCCATTGCCCATTGATTTCGAAGATTTCGGAAACTTTCATGCCTTCGCGGGATTGCCGACACACGCAGTGTTGGCAAGGAGGTTGCTATTTTTACCAGTCGACCTTCGTTTTCCAGAAGCCAAAGGCCATTTAGCAACCTAAATATTTGGCCTAAGTCTGGCGCAGTGGTACAGCATTCTGGTGGCTTCCTCGTGACGTTTTGACTAGGTTTGGCGATGTTTTTTAACACGTTTTTCGCGCTAAAGCTCGTTGGACTTCTGAATTTTCTTCGGCCGGACTAGAATTCTTGCGGAGAACTTTGGTTGTATGATTCGGAATGGCGTGAAAAGTTGCAGATCTAACACCAGGACATGAGTAAGTGCAGTTTATCATGAACTAATATTGAGTATATACCTTTGGAAAAAAAGGCAGTTGATCAACTCGAATGGCGTGGGTTGATCAAGAGAGCGACTGCCCAGGTGCAGGTGAATGCACTATTGCACGCGGAGGAGAAATGCCGTGTACGTAACCGACAGGTGTCGATGGAGTCTACCCCAGCGACGCCAAGCGCATGATGCGGTGACATATGTGGTCGCGACAGCCTTAGCCAAGCGGGCTTGGTGAACCAGCAGCGGTGCTATAATAATCTGACATCGAAAGGGCGACGAGTCAGCTGAATAGGTAAGCAATATCAGTGAAGTTACGCTGTTTGTGATTCCATTTACTAACCTACGCCAATAACGTGGTCCATGTGACAAATGCGCTATATCTTTGCTGTATTTGGTCTGTGCGTGTGCGTTTCATGGGTTTCAAGTGTTAGCTGTTGATTGATATCCCCGGTATGGCTACGCTTGATGCGCATGTTGAGAAGGTGACTACCTGTGGAAAAATCTGCTTCGGTTCTACTGGCTCCAGCAGGCATTTGGTCATTGCTAGGTGAGACTGGGTGCACCGTTCCCGTGACTTTGTTAAGCTTAAAAAGTGCTTCCATCCAGTGCGAAATGGACTACGGTCCAGCCACCACTTTGTAGACTTCTGGTAGGCAGGATTTCCGAAATCGATAGACAGGAATGTTGTTGCTATGCATGTTGCAAGAGTGTGGGCCTAATCCACGGATGAAATGTGTCTCCGTTCCTCAAGCCTCCCGGTCTTAGTCCTTCGGATTTACACTGGATATGGGATGTGTGGATGGAGCTGTGTGCTGCAGCGCAAGGCGCTAGTGGTCCCACAGTAGGTGCAGGCGTTATGTGGCTGTCCTATGGAGGCCGTAGCCACGAACAAATGTGGAAGCAGATGCCGCCAATCACTTATAAAGCAGTGTTATTTGCAGCTGTGAAATTGCCGCTGCACTTGTGGCTGTGTTCTGTAGGGTGGTCAGGGTAGGAATTTATCAGAGGTAATCTCCGAGGTGGACAACTGATACCGGTGGAGCGGAAAAGATAATCCCGGATGGCTACTCGAAGAATCAAGCTACCTCCTCTTAGGGGATACCTCGACTAGTGGCAATCGCAAAACAAATCTCGCCACTTATGCTGGGAAGATGCCAAGGGGTGGTCTGGGTGAACAGTCTGTCCTACTCCATTCAATGTTTGTCGCGAATGCACTGAAATCATCACTGAAACGGAAGTACAGTGGCGGGATATTTAGCGGCATTGTGAATGTCTATTATTCGGACCCCTTAATACCTCCTTACCAATACGTAAGGCAACATTTCCACTTCACGGTAAGTACTTTTGTCCCCAGTTATAACGCCATATGGTTCAAACTATCTAATCAGAAAGTACATTAAGCTAAATAACGATGCTTGCGAAGTTATTCAGACCTTAGGCTCTAGGTTCCTGAGGAAAGAACAAGCACCATGGTTGTAGCTCCGTTTGTTTCATCGCGACCAATGCACACAGCTTGAAGCTGAACCTTCCACACCAATTCTAATCCACTGACATTATGAAGTTTCCATCTGTTTCTGCACATAAAAGGGACAAACATTTCTCACTTGCTTTATAGCCTCGTCACTCTCAGTTTAGAAACCTGCTAACCCGTGATGATAGATGCAGTAGATGGGATTTCGTTAATTACAGTGTCCACTCCCCATCATTGTAAACGTCGAATTACCTGTTTGAGTCAGAAGTAGACAGCCCCCATTCTGTCACTCACTAGGTAGATAAGTCATTTAGACAATACTATGACACAGTTATCTGCCAATTGGCAATTTGGTGGGGTGACTGGGTCGCAGGCATCACAAACTCACACACACACACACACACACACACACACACACACACTGCGAATCAGGCCATACTTTAATCCGTTATAAAACATGTTTGCTAGAATGATGCATTAAACTTCATTTCGGTGGCCAAATCCACACAAATTAAAAGAGGCATCATTGTTATGAAAAGGTGCACACCCACACAAGTCATTATGAAAAGCAAGCAAACTCATTCTGATGTGGGTTTGTGACAGGACGTGGCAACTTGAGATTAATGGGATAGGCATGCAGGACGAGCGAAGGAGACAGATGAGCGGACAGCAGAAATGAGAAGGGACCTTCTGAGGAGAATAAACCACCATCGCGTTTGCCCTCTTGGAACAATGTGGAGTTGCATAATGGATGTTCTACTGGAGCCATTTTGGACAGAACCACATAACAGCTGGAGTTCACTGGCAGTGGGGTAGATGAAGATGGACAGCCGCACGCCAGGATGCGTGAGACGACGCACAGGTTATCCATTCCGCACACACACAGCTCCGCACACGAACACAAGAAGCCTGTGTACTTTGGCCTCCCCAGACATCGCAGATAGGCATAGCTTAATCACAACACTCACCGTTTCGCTTTTGACGCAAAGATGTCACGGATAAATGCTTCCCTCTCTCCACGCACAAATCAATGTATTCCATATATCCAATAGAATTTGTTTCGATTCTTGCAGATTGGTTCTCAGGGCACAATTTTTTATGTGCAGGCGCTTGCAATAGTTTCAACCAACAGCTACTGGATCTTTTGCGCTTATCTGAGCGCTGAGGATCGGTCGACAATTCGTAACTAGTGGTTCATGATCGCCCACTTTTGTCACTTCCTGGTCAATGGATGTGATTCAGGATGAGAACATTTTACTATCGACTACGCTTTGTATGAATAGGGCTATTAGTCATGATCTGTTGCAATATTGTGTATAGGCATTCACCTAAGGTTTCGTACTAGATAGACCTTTGTGGTGGTTTGAAGAGCGGCTCAACCATTGTCGCGGACGGTTATCTTCGTTATTCTTCCTCCGAATATGCCTCCAAATGGAAAATTAGCCATGGGGTTTCCCCAATACATACATTGTATCAGTTGTTGCTGTACGACAATAATCCGGCGCAAAAGAGCAGTCCAGTCACGAGTACGTCGTGCGTAAAATATAGCGTAAACTTTTCCCTCATGCCATAACAATCAGCGTGGTCCTACGAATAAAGAACAGGGGAGTTCGTGATAGTAGCCATGAGCATCAGCAACCCAAAAGGCGGGAAATTCCAGGGTAGAGCAAGTGTAAAATGGTTACCATATTCTGCTACAGTTAAGAAGGCAGTGGATTCAAGATACACATAAGACTCCCAGATCAAATCAGTATTCAAGGCCAGCAGTGTGCTACGGTACTGTTTGTATAAAGGGTTAGGGCAACAAATCGTATACTGACCTTGACAGTGTCCACCACAAATGTACGATAGTTTTGTTCGCAAATTAATACCGGACGTCCAAACAAGACCAAATGCCGGCAACAATTAACTGAAGTCCAAACAGTTGACCGATTAAGCGTTCAGCCAGGTGCGATTTAAAGCAAAACGAGCGATAGTCCAATCAATCAATCGTAAAATGTCAGCTGAAAAGAGTCAGTCACAGTTTGAAACAAGGGAATAGTTGGGGACTGGGGGCACGCTTCGGTGGAATCCATCAGACCGTGAAATGTTCGTTACACTCCCCCACCAAATTCCTTCCAGAAATTGCTCGTTATTTGACTGTGCTCTAGCTGGCTTTGACGTCACTTAGGGTACAGGATGCGTCACATCCGCATTTGAGGCCGTGGGTCCGTTCTTGCTGCATCCAAGTGCAGCAGCTGCTGCTGCTGCTACTGCTGCTGCTGCTGCTGCTGCTACTGCTGCTGCTGCTGCTGCTGCTGCTGCTGCTGCTGCTGCTGCTGCTGCTGCTGCTGCTGCTGCTGCTGCTGCTGCTGCTGCTGCTGCTGCTGCTGCTGCTGCTGCTGCTGCTGCTGCTGCTGCTGCTGCTGCTGCTGCTGCTGCTGCTGCTGCTGCTGCTGCTGCTGCTGCTGCTGCTGCTGCTGCTGCTGCTGCTGCTGCTGCTGCTGCTGCTGCCGCTGCTGCTGCTGCTGCTGCTGCTGCTGCTGCTGCTGCTCTCCGTGCATAGCGCGTTTTGCTAGTAGCTGGAGAAGGGCGCAGACAGAAAAATAACACCTGCTGAATACACCAGACCCATCCCCAAATTCTTTAAGACCAATACTGAATCCATCCCCATCTCTGCACTACAATTCATTGCCAAGTACTCTCAAGGAACAAAACAGGCCAGAGCCATCAAGGCGTGTAACTCTCAGACGAAATATTTTACGAGCAAGGAGAGTTTTCATTGGTTCCTCAGGTAAAACCATCCATTCCAAACGCTGGCGTCCAACCGGGGAGTAGGGTCAATACCAGGAATTCCACCGTGTAAACGCGAGCATCCTCAGTCGCACTTCAGACTCGTGAGAATACGCCATAAAGTGAGAAATTCCAATGAAAGCATAAGCAGTTAACCGCAAAGAACCCAAAGCAATAGGATGCTCTTGAGCACTCATAAATAAACTCAGTCGTGATTGTTGCTCAAAGTTCATATCGAAATTAGAGCAGACTTCTTTGGTTAGCCCATGGATACTGTCAGATGGCTTGCGTTCTCACACTGCATTACACTGCACGTGAGCCCACCGGATGAATGCTTCATAAAGTGGCTGTATCAAATAAGCGGAACCCTAAGCAAGTCTGACGAAACCGATGATTGATTTTGTAAATAGTTGGAAAAATACATGGCGTTCCTGTATTGTTAAACACTGTGACCGTCACATCGGCTGTGAATTCAAGATACACATAAGACTCCCAGATCAAATCAGTATTCAAGGCCAGCAGTGTGCTACGGTACTGTTTGTATAAAGGGTTAGGGCAACAAATCGTATACTGACCTTGACAGTGTCCACCACAAATGTACGATAGTTTTGTTCGCAAATTAATACCGGACGTCCAAACAAGACCAAATGCCGGCAACAATTAACTGAAGTCCAAACAGTTGACCGATTAAGCGTTCAGCCAGGTGCGATTTAAAGCAAAACGAGCGATAGTCCAATCAATCAATCGTAAAAAGTCAGCTGAAAAGAGTCAGTCACAGTTTGAAACAAGGGAATAGTTGGGGACTGGGGGCACGCTTCGGTGGAATCCAACAGACTGTGCTTTGTCCGTTACATATTCATTTAGCTTTTGTTAATCTCTATCGCTGACAACAACCGCAACAATTTTTGCAATATTTGCTGCAAACTTCCCTCGATGTCCCATTTTGTACTGGGTGCTTATTGGGTATGTGATCACGGCCATTGCTGCCCATTCAAACTGATTAGACTGCTGCTTTAATTTATGGGAACTTTGCATACAGTGACTACTCGGAATCGTTATACCTTTCATGCAATTGGGAGCTACCTACACGTCTTAAAGTCTGTTAACACTAGACCAGTGGTTAGCCGGTGTCATCTCCCGACCACATTGCTTAAACAGTCGCAGACCTTCTTAACATGATTTTCGGTCTACATATTCCTTTATCATTCTTTTGATCGACATGAATTATGTTCAACGTACTTGTTTGTCCCTTGAATAAAACAAGTAAACTTTTACTTGAATTAGCGGAGGTATATAAACAGGTAACTCGTTGAACAGCATAATTAAAATATATGTATTAGCGCCATGGATTGTTTAAGCGTGACATGCAAGTTGAATCGGAGGTCCTTTTTGTGTATGCATTGTAACATAACTGTAAAGTAAACGATCTATAATTGTCGTGGGTAACTGCTGCTAAGACCTACCTCTGACTGCCATTTCCTCTGTCTCTGAACAAATCAATGCGAAGTAAGAGAAAGCTGTTGGCCACCAAGCATATTTAAGAAGCTACAAATGCATCTTGGGCATAGTACTGTTACTATCACCACCCACCACCCACCACCACCCACCACTCACCACCACCACCACCGTTATTCATTAGCCGTATAGGGTAAAGCTCTCAAATTACGTCGGAAACAGCGGAACGCAGATACTTGAAGCTTGATGTCCCAAGGTGGTCCTGCCTTACTTCGAGCACCATACGAGCCATAGAGTGGATGGACTCTGATGCCAAGCGTATGCTTAGGACAACGAGTACCTGATTACAGTAACACATACAGCTGCAATTTGCTGCTTTTCGCTATCCCATTAATAACATGCGGGAGCCGAAAAATTTGAGTACTGCTGCTTCTTAATGACTGTTCAGAAAATCCAAGTTATAACATACACGGGGAATCAAAACCAAGCAGTATGCTAATTTAAAACGTTTCAAGCAAGTAATATTTCACTGTTCTCAAAATAGTGTTTTGGAAATTGTGCCTAATAATCCTAAGGGTACTTTATGTCTTTGTGGTTGGAGCTTGTAACCATTCCGGTAGGAAGTCTTTGAAACCCCCACTTTGAGAGCCAGTTTAACTCATTCACCGTCAGTTGGCAGGCTGCGCCCGTTGTTATCTTGGGCGGAAAGAAAAAAGAACGATGCTGAGTTATCAGGTGGAGAAATGTACTAAAAATTCGGTTTCCTGAGGATCAAGTAAGTTTATACATGGCAATTTATTAACTTGGACACCTTCCGCCAGGCGGGACAGTTCGTGGTCCGCTAAAGATGTGGTTTTGAAATTTTGACAGATCCTTGAGCTGCTGCTACGATCCAGCCATAGTCTCCAGGTCTGGACACCTCGGGACGAACGCTGGGTGGGAGTTGGGCTATACCACTCTTTTGGCTAAGAGCCACGAGGCATCCATTTGAGTCGATCGAATCATGGTGTATATCCTGCAATAATTCGGACCCTAATCGTTCTCTTATCCAGGTATGAAAGCCCTGGGAATAAATCAGTTCAGCCATAAGCTATGAAATACCCAACTACTATTAATCGCATGCTGCACCGGACAGCGCGCTATGGGATAGCCAAATGCGTCACCTAATCTACTGCATTCAGCGACTGCGAAGAGAAATAGTAGACATAAGCGGAAAACGCTAAAGATAAAGTACTAGAACCTGCAAACGCTCCTAGGTCGGAAAACCAATCAGCGCCTCACGCGATGCACAACACTCGCTGCCACGGAGCTCGTACGCTACCGTATTGATATTGCACTATTTAGAGAGACTCGGCTGACTGAGCAAAACAACTTGTACAAGGATGGTACTGGTTACACTTGTTACCGAATGGAGGAGTTAAGTGGCAATAGCAGAATTTTGATGACACTTCACCTAAGCCTTGCGCGGCTCACGATTTTAACCTAGAGTGGTACGTATGGACCCAGTGGTGGACGCTGCTTCGGATGTTAGCTGTACGCGAACTGCAGGCATAATGTAGGTCTGTCGAAAGTTCTTCGCTTTTCTCTTGAACAAAGCGCGATGGGTAATGATATACGACCGGCAAATAAGCGAGTACTGATGCGCAGTAGTGAGGCTTTTGGTGTAGTTCAGCTAATTCATCATCATCGCTCCCAATCAGCAGGTTTAGGCTAATCTGGAAAAGCACCAGACGCCGGCGTTTCTACCTTCTGGATCTCGTCAGTAGTGTGCCTCCCAGCGAACCCCTGCCGGGTTCGGCCCCCATGGCAGTGGCAGATGAGTCGGGCTGTCATAGTCAGTTGTCAATCACGCAGGTACGCGGCTGCCACCCATGCCGAAGGGACACTAGCTGTTGGCATCCTGAAGTCATGGGTCCGTTGAGAGGCGCACCACTGACGAGACCCAGTAGGACGAAACGCTGGTGTCTGGTGACTTTCCAGACTAGCCTAAGCCTGCTGATTGAGAATGACGACGATGAAGTAGCTGAAATAAGCGATTGCTCAAGAATTCCCTTAGGATGACCAGAGTTTGGATTAAGAAGCAAGGATTTAAAGAATAGCGTGGAATAGGTGAGGAATGCAGGTGTTTAATGACTCACCTAGCTGATTAGAAGGTAAGTTTGAAGTTCATTTTGAGATTGGACTGCGGCGCGTAATATCAGGGTATACCGTGATTCGTATTGAAGTGAATCTTGGTTAGCTCGATCATCAGAAACGTAGCTAATGAAGAAAAAGAAATTGGGTGTTACCCGCCCAAAATCGATGCACTCCACGCTTTTCGACCCATGTGGTTTCTTGAGGTAGAGCTAGCAGAACTAATGGTCCCAATCATAATGCGTACCATCCCTACCTGATGAGATCAACTGAGATAGAAATGCGTCATGGAGTGCAATATTTTCGGGCGGGAAACACCCAATTTCCGTCTGACTCACCAAGCTATTCAAGTGAACGATGTGAGTTTCCTCAACGATACGTGTTTGCCTGTGAAGGAGTGTGGGCTCGCTCCGTTGATGAAACTTGGCTCCAATCCAATTCCCCCGGTCTTATTCCTTCGCGTTCACACTGGATATGGAATGTGTGATTGGAGCTGTGGGCGGTGCAGCGCAAGCCACCCATAGTCTCTCTGTAGGCGTAAGCTTCCTGTGGCTGTCCACAGATACAGGTATATCCCAATGCCGCCATCCATGTTCCGGAAATCTCTCTTGAACACATAACATGTTTTGAGTTCTTTCGTCTCCCGAAAGAAACGGCCTATATCATGTTATGCAAGTGAAATATTATGTCGTCAAAGTGTGTTTCGAAAACCTTTTATGTTCGAACCAAAACGATTTGGAAGGGTGTTCCATGTACAGGATACCCTGAAAGGGAAAATGCCATGTCAATCATCAAGCCGACTAGAGTGTGTAGCATTTTGCGCTTGTGGCCTCTCAGGTTTGTACTGTGGCTGAGTTGTCGCTCGTCGCGACAGACCAGATATGGGTTTGTCGGTATTAGGTAAACCATAATGTGGTCTTGCTGACACCGCTATTCTACGCTGCACAATCTCAGGGCACTCAGCCTGTGCTGGTAGGAGATTTGGTAGAAACCCCCAACGAATTCGGTCATTCTTCTTTGTGGAACTTCAAGCGTATCAACACCATGCTTGCGTCAGGGACGCCTAGCTTGGATCGTGTATTCAACATGGGGCCTCATTTAGGAGTTAAGCCTTGGCGGAAAGATAGATCGCTCGAACATCCGAACACCTTTCATGTGAGTGCAAGCTGTTGAGTGGCTCTTTTT